TTTGTTATTTTATATTAGGCATAGCCTGCCCTATAGCATGGTGTATTTTTATTTGTTTTGTTAATAAAAGTTCTATGTTTTATATATAGGCTAAAGTGAGTTTATCGTTGTATTTTGTTGTTGCATTCAAGCAATTGACGCCGAACTGCCGCTAATTTGAAAGTGAAAGTAAAATGCGCATGTACTGTGACATACTGAAGCAGAACATGATGCCCTCCCTTCAGAAACTGGGCCTAACGGCAGTTTTCCAACATGATAACGACCCCGAACACACCGCCAAGATGACAACTGCCTTGCTGAGAAAGCTGAAGGTGAAGGTGATGGAGTGGCCAAGCATGTCTCCAGACCTGAACCCTATTGAGCACCTGTGGGGCATCCTCAAGCGGAAGGTGGAGAAGCGCCATGTGTCTAACATCCAGCAGCTCCGTGATGGAAGAGGATCCCAGCAACAACCTGCGCAGCTCTGGTGAACTCCATGCCAGGAGGATTAATGCAGTGCTAGATAACAATGGTGCTCACACAAAATATTGACACTTTGGACACAGCTTTGACATATTCACTTAGGGTTCCAGCAGCTCCGTGATGGAAGAGGATCCCAGCAACAACCTGCGCAGCTCTGGTGAACTCCATGCCAGGAGGATTAATGCAGTGCTAGATAACAATGGTGCTCACACAAAATATTGACACTTTGGACATATTCACTTAGGGTGTACTCACTTTTGTTGCCAGCTATTTAGACAACAATGGCTGTATGTTGAGTTATTTTCAGAGGACAGTAAATCTGTACTGCTATACAAGCTGCACATTGACTACTCTAAAATATATCCAAGTTTCATTTCTATAGTATTGTCCCTTGACAACATATAATAAAATGGTTGCTGAAATGTGAGGGGTGTACTCAGTTTTGTGAGATACTGTAACTAATTTACATACATTTCCAGCAAATAAATCAGAAAATCTGAAGCCAGGTTCATAATTCTTGTTTGACTTTGTTAACATTAGTGTTAAAGTTTTTCTATTTATGACTCCATACATCAGAAAAACACATGTTTATAGAAATAAAATGTTGTATAAATCAGTATGAATGAAATACAAACCCCTCAGTAAAAACCTTCAGAACTGGTAAGTTTGCTGTATGTAAGTGCTGCTGGAGCGTGATTATTCTTATTTTAAGTGAATTCAGATGTTAAATGTCATAATTGGTTCAAGGTCTGGATTCATTTTTGTAGATTCACTTACTCACAGAAACTTATTTCAGCCACATAAAAAACAAAAAAGGTAATTTTGACTTTACCTCACAATTCATACGTGTTTCTCACAATTCTGTGTATATTTCACCATTCAGACGTTTAAATTCTGAATTGATTAAAAAAATCCAAATTATGAGATAATTATGAAAGATTATGAAATAATCCTACTGAATGTAAGAATTCCCATTCCAGTTGTTTATGATTTACTGAATAAGAATTCAGGGTAAGGAGTTGTGAAAATCTTTAGAAAATTTTATAATTTAATATCATTTTTATTTAGCTAGCACAAATTATATTCTATTATATAAATCCCCATGGTGTTTTAAAATTTTACTAATTTCCAAGAGTTTTTCAGTCGTTCGGGGGTTTAAAGAATAAGAATTAAAGATAGGGATTTAGATAAAAAAAGCACAATTTTATAATATAAAGTATTTTATTTAACTAGTAAAATGTATATTCATTGTATAAATGCGTGTTGTGTTTTAAGATTTATTAATTTCCATGACTTTTCCAGTCATTAATAATTTACTGGTTAAGAATTAATGATAAATGTTTTTGTTTTATATTTTAAAAGTCTTTTTCTGGATTTAATGGACAAGAATAAAATATTAAGATTTGCACAAATTAATAATCTAAGTAAAATATTTGAACTAGTCAAATTTATAGTCACTATATAAAGGCCCATGTTGTTTTAAGATTGTATTAATTTATTAATTTTAAAATCTTTTATTCTTGTCCATTAAATCCAGAATGACTGAAAAAGACTATTTTTAAAAACTTTTATCATTAATAATTTACTGGTTAAGAATTAATGATAAAAGTTTTTAAAAATATTTTTATGTGCAATTTTATAATATGAATAACCCATGTTGTTTAACTAGTAAAATCTATATTCATACATAAATGCCCATGTATTAATTTCCAAGACGTTCAACGTTTGCTGAGGAGGCGAATTCAAGTCAGGAATATCTCGATTTTAGTTGAGTTTAATTAATGCTTGTTTTGTCTGGTTTGAAATCATTTTTATCTTGAGGCCTCTGGTTGAGAACGACTGGCTTGAGTTCAGTGCAGGAATGTAAACTCGAGTCAGAGACGTGTACCTGTGTCTGCAGCGTCTGAGGAAGCGCATGATCTTCCGCGCGGCCTGATCCTGTTTCTTGGTCAGGAACGAGCCTCTGACACACACAACGAGAGTTTGAGCGAATCACAGAATCACTCATATAATGATCTGCATTGTGGTATGTTGTGTG